ATATCATAAGTTTTAAAGGCTTTTATTGGAAAAAATATATAATGAGTCAATATTTACAGTGTTGACCCTTGTTCTTCATAACCTCAGCAATTCGCTCTGGCATGCTGGATATTAGCTTCTGGGCCAAATCCTGGTTGATGGCGATCCATTCTTGCCTTATTATTTCTCAGAGTTGATCACAATTTGTGGGCTTCTGCTTGTCCACTCGCCTTTTGAGGACTGACCACAGGTTCTCTGTGGGATTGAGATCCGGGAAGTTGACTGGCCACGGATCCAAAATTTCAGTGTAATGATCGTCGAGCCACTTCTTTATCACTCTTGCTTTGTGACATGGTGCTCCATCATGTTGGAAAATGCACGGATCATCACCAAATTGCTCATGGATCGTTGGATGAAGGCGCTCTTGCAGGACGTTTTGATACCATTCTTTATTCATGGCATTGTTTTTGGACAGAATTATGAGAGAGCCCACTCCCTTGGTTGAAAAGCAACCCCACACATATGGATGGTCTCAGGATGCTTCACTGTTGGCACAACACAGGACTCATGATAGCGTTCACCTTCTCTAAACAATCGATTTTCCAGATGTCCCAAACAGTCGGAAGGGAGCTTCATCAGAGAAAATAACTTTGCACCAGTCTTCTGCTGTCCAATCCTTGTACTTACTGCAGAATTTCAGTCTGTCCTTGACATTTTTCTTGGAGAGAAGTGGCTTCTTTGCTGCCCTTCTTGACACCAGGCCGTTGTCCAAAAGTCTTGGCCTCACTGTGCGTGCAGATGCTCTCACAGCAACCTGCTGCCATTCCTGAGCAAGCTCTGCACTGGAGGTGACACGATTCCGTAGCTGACTCCTCAGGAGGACTTCACAGGATAAATTGCATTCTTCTATATACATTGAGTCTTATATGGTAAGATTAATGTTTTTGAAAGAAGTATTTTTTTCTCACCAAAACAGTAATATTGTCAAATATTTAGAGATGCACCGATTGACCGGCCAGTGATCGGAATCGGACGGTTTTTCGCATGATCGGCTGGGATCGGTGACTGGCCGGTCAGTCTCACGTCTTGCCGATTCCGAGCCGATCCTTTTATTGCCAGCGGTGTCGGCAATGACGTCAAAGCCACGCGCACACTCACAGTCACGTGTGAACATGTCGTTTCGCGTGAGAATGATTCTAATTTTAATTGCATTCAGTGTAAACGGCGACTGATAATGTATTTGTCGTGCCAGATGAGGCTTGCACAGCCTGAGTGAGTGTGTGAGAGAGACAGCACACACAAAGTAGCCTAACTCACAGAAATGTATAGATGCATACTGCGGTAGAAAAAAAAGATATTTACAAAATATGATTTAGGTAAGCAACATTATACGGCCATGATATTTCCCCGAATATCAATATCAACACAACTGCAATGTGACACTGATTTTATACAATAGTATTTCAACAAAAAATTAAGGGACTTAGATTTTATACAAAATATTGACTGTTTTTGCTCAATTTCGCTGACAAAAATAGTTCCGATCAAAGCCACAGCAAAGCACACAGTTAAGCATTGCTACCTTGACAATGCAGCCTGTTCATTGTCATAATAAAATACAGTCAGTCAAACATATGAAAAAAAAATGTAGTAAAATCTGTGCCGTTTAGTGTTATCACAGTACCGCCGTGATGTTATGCAAAACATTTTGTTTTACGTGGATATTGGAACGCGAGTGAAGCAGCCTACATAATAAATAATAATTTGCCATTCAAATACTTCGCAAATACTGAAACATTTGATTTTGTGTGGAATGAGAGACCCAACGTTGGTTTCAGCTTCATTTTAGCCTAAATGAATTCATTTGGCTTGTCGTTTATATTGCTATAGCTTCTTATATTTTTCATTCTTGTTCTTTTCTAAATACTGTTAATTGAAAGGATTTGTTGTGGAGTGAGGGGAACTAAAATAGCCTAGCTATGTTTACAGTGTTTATTATAATGTTTATGAACATTTTGCGTCGGCATTAGGCATTTCTGAATGAAATTAAAAAAAATGCGACTTATGTTTTTTTTCCACTAAAAAACACATTTTTTTTATACGCGTAGCGTATTTTAACCATGCAGCAAACCTTTTTAAATATTTTGATAAATTGCTGAAAAATTAATAATTAAATGACTTTTTAAACCGTTTAACTGATTGTATTAATTGGTCAAAATTTTTACGGTCGGTTAACCGGTTAAAATGAACATCCCTAGTCACTAATTAGAAGTACAAAACGAGGATTTGTAAAGAAGAATGTTGGAGGATTTCGATATAAGCCAAGAGGGGACTGGTTTTCCTTTGCTAAAGTAAGGAAACTTTGCTTCCTTTGCTCCTGTTAACAAACGTTGGTTTTCACGAGACTCACCGGCGCATGCGCAGCGCTGACCTCATACCTCATCAGCCCGGAACTGCTTCCGTGTACAACTGTTGGCTCAAGCTACATTAAAGTTATTATTACGTTTTGAATATGGAAATTTTTCTTACAAAAACGCATCGATTGACAGCAGAACGTCTCGTTTAACTTCATCATACAAACAAGGAATTGCCGTTTCTGTTAAAAACTGACGTGTCGGTATTGTGTAATGTGGCTCACACTCGTGAAGCAATTGTCTGAAGCCGTTATTCTCGACAACGCAGTATGGCGCTGAGCGCTGAGACGTGGATGGGAGTTTCGAGTTAAAAACATCGGGCAAGGTTGGCTGCTTCTGAGACGACAGGTGTGTAACGTTACTGCTACCTGCCCCGATCGAGGCTAGGTGGTCTGGATGATGTCTCATCATATGCAGAGAGAGGTTCATCGTGTTGCCAGAATACTTAACTTTTGCTTTGCAGTTCTTGCATATGGCATGACTCATGTCTAATGTCTCACTCTCCGGTTGAGTGTAAAACCCAAAATTGTCCCATATTTTTGATTTTACTTTTGTCGGCGGTGGCAGAATCCTCTGATCCATTTTGAATAGTACGTTGCTAAAATGGACACTC